TCTCTCTCTCTCTCTCTCTCTCTCTCTCTCTCTCTCTCTCTCTCTCTCTCTCTCTCTCTCTCTCTACTAGGTACTGACCTGCGAAAGGTGGTGCCTTGATGCAAGTGCGGACGTGCTGAAGACGAAGCTGGAGCAATGGTCACGCAGGTAAGTCTCAGGTAAGTCCTTTGGCCGCCATCACCATCCCTCCCTCCCTGCGCTACTCTACTCTATCAGCGCCCAGCGCTGGAAGACTAGTCCTATCGTCAACTACTACTGCACTTCTGTCGTCTGAAGTATTCCTCACCTCGATCCCCTACTGAATTCTGTGACTGAGACCGGACCCAGCTATATATAGTGCTCGGTCGGCCTCAGCTGCTGAGTCCTGGCCCTCAAACTGAGGCTGGGCCTCGAAAGTTTGGCGCCCAAACTGAGGCTGGGCCTCCAGCGCCTACTGAAACGGCACGGTCTCAAAATCAGGGCCTTGGAGCCAAAACGCGCGCGCCAGGGCCTGTAACCAAAACGAGGCCTACAGAACCTCCAACCGGTTGCGGTCCTACTCAGGCCTAATACCGGCCTACCGACCCTGCGGACCCTACTGAGGGTCAAAACGACACAGACCCTACCTCTACGGACCCCTAGCCCACCTGGTCGGGCCCTGCTGGGCCCGTGTGCAACTGAGTATGCCACTGCAGCAGTGAACTTTGGCTTCCTGATAAAAAAGGCGGCCTGGGCAGAGAGAGGGAAGAGAGGTTGAGATGGCATTGTAGAAAGGTCAGGTTTGGAGCAGCCAAAGTATGGCCAGAAAAAAAAAGAAGACTAACAGAGAAGTTGCAAGGGAGGGTGCAGCTGAACATGGTTCAGAGACTGTTCATGTTCAGAGAAAGGTCCACTTGCGATTTTAACAGAGGATGTTTCATCATTTATGATTTATCAGAAAATAGCTCTCAGGGCCTACTCACACGAGGACCTTCCTGCATGTACCTGACCACAATAACACCCAGACATGAATGCATCTGACCACAATTATGTCCAGCGCTCAGTTAAAATAGTCCTGACGTGAGTTTTGCCTTCAGTATGTTCAACATCCTCCAGCCCATCAAAGCACACACAGTGTAAACACTTAGAACCCTTGCCGCCTGACGGTCAGGACATCGTTTAAAACTTTAAGAAAAATGGACTGATACAGAGACGCAATTAACCTGGCCCCTGCGCAAGGATGACACGCACAAAACAAGAAATGGTCCAAATACCACCAGCGCCCCCCCCCCCAAAAAAAAAGAACCTTTTCACCATTACCTGTGGTAAAAGCCATGAGCTACAAACTCCCGCATGTTCTGCAAGCGTATACGTTCATATGGAGCACCCAGAAACCACCTTGACAGAAAATTGTGGATATCCACATCATTCCTGAAAGGCAAAAACAGTAAGGCAACAACCAAGCACCTCTTCAATCAGTCACAGCTCCATCTCTTTTCAAATTTCAAGTGCATTTGAGCCCTTGCTACTGTACCATAGACACGACTGTGCACAAGGCAACAACCAAGCATCTCCATAAGGAGCAACCCAAAATACAAGTTGACAGAAAATTAAGGATATCCACATCATTTCTGAGAGGGGAAAACAACAAGCCAACAACCAAGCGGCTCTTCAATCAGTCAGAGCTCCATCTCTTTTCAAATTTTAAGTGCATTTGAGCCCTTTGCTACTGTGTAACACTGAGGAATTCTGTCCTTTCTCCCACTGGCAACAACCAAGTGTGATGCCACAGCCCGCCCTGAGCATCCTGGGCCTCTCAGCAAGGATGGCCGCCCTAAGTGAAGGCGGCCCTGTATAATCACATGAGGCCTATTTCGTCCTTTTTCGCAAAGTGGGGCTCAGACAGTTATGCTGCGTCAGTTGGTTGAATGGACACAGGCCGTGGGCAACAGTATCCGACCAAGGGCTTCTAGGCCCCTCCTCTGTTTCTGAGCACAGGCACTGGGGCAGACACGGGCCACAAACTGCACGCAGCACGCTTGGCAGTTAGACACACGTAACCACCCGGGGCCCTGCGGAATATTCTGGCCTCAGGCACTTGGGGCCTACCGGAAGCTTCTGGGCAGGGCCCCAGCACAGCTAGGCAGCACGCAGCAGGCAGGCCACTTCCACAAAAGAAAGTGCTGGCCTCCGCATTTGGCATTCGGGCACTCACTGCTTATGCGCAAGTGCTGCTGGAGCGAGTGCCTACTCTCTCAGGGCCGAGGCAGGCAGCCATAGCCAAGCTGGCCTGCGCATTGCTGGATATAGCGCATGGTGGTCCTTGGGTGCACGTGGCATCTGTGTGGGGGATCGAGGTTGTGAGTGAAGCGTGAGACATACCTGGTGCTTGAGGCGAATGGCATTGGCCGAGATCTGCTCGTACTTCGGAAAGCTGTTGACATCACCAGCGGCATTGTAGATAGGCTAGATAGGATCTGCCATTCGTAGTCTGGGCGCTGAGCGGCAGATAGGGATTTGACATTGGTTCATTGTTGATGATGATGAGACTATTCCAACATTGTCACTTGTGAGCTTTTGTTGTGCTCTTATTTGGTGGAACTCAAGTTGCAATTCTGCTTTTGGTTCGAGGTCAAGACTATCTGGTTTCATGTGTATGATGCTGCTTGGTTTTCTGGAATTCGCTATCCCTCATTTTCCTTGCATTTTGGTATCGGAGCTGTGGTACGCTGTGCTAATCTGGCGCTTGTCTTCTGCTTATACGGTGCATGCACGCGGGTAGCTGGGTGAGCGACCGTGGGTAGTGTGCAGTGCGGAGGGCGAAGGCAAGCAGGCGGCCCAGGAGGAGAGGGGTATCACCAGGAAGGGTTTGAGGTGATATTGGGTGTTTCGCAGAGTGATGAGAACTATCTGATGTGCGATTGATGCTGAGGTGGATCGGCGGTATAATGCTGGTTGTGTCGAGGCAATGATTGGTTATCGCAATCGACGTCAGGTCATCTGGTGAGAATATTTGTGGTTAGGGGCAGCTATCCTGAGGTACGTTGCTCTTAACCTTATCTACCCTCTTCGACACTTCTTACCGTGAGGATGTGTGTTCTGTCTTGAGAGTCCTCTCATGTGAGGAGTCGAGAGCGCTCGTGGAGCATCTGGAAGGGGAGGGCGTTGCCATCTGAAGGGCTTTGGACGAGGCACTGGGTCAAGGTCACCATGCCGACCCACCGGGAGAAGAGCACGCATGCTTTGCTGCTTTGTCCTTTGTCTGCCTGCTGCGCTATAGATATGTCATGAGGGGCAGGCCAGCCCTACTGAGGAGACGAGAACCGGACGTTTATAAATAAATACCGCCGGGTTACCTTCCATTGGCTGTGATCGTCGTCCTGTTTGCGATGTTAAATAATTCCTGAGGACCTCGGGGGCAGTCCTTAACTGCCTCTTGAACAGCCAATCAGTCGGTGTAATGCTTGCTGCATGCAAGGGTAAATAGGGTGCAGGGCTGGCCAGCTCAGCATCGACTTGGGGCACAGGGGTGGGCCACGTGCACACCTTTAGACACGCACGCTATCTGGATCGCTAAGGAACGCTGACATGAATTGACATCAAGAAGAACTAAGAGAGGGTTAGATTTCAGGTGATAATTTCGAGAACAATTCCACTCTACAAACAGCCATACAAACGAGTCTATTTTTGTTTTGATTAGTTAGGTGTACAGCCATGAACACATCTGACAGACAGCATAGGTAGAACTTTTTGTTTTTGCTTATTTGCTTTCTGTTTGTGGACTAGTCAAGTGAAATGGTTTCGTTTGTAGGAATCTGGACCTACCTGTTGAACGTAACTCTGTACCATCTAACAATGCCACCGATTATTTACATGCGGTGGGCACCCGAGCGTACCCTAGTGCAGACAGTGCACAGTGTTGTAGCATATGAGCGACAGGGAGGACCCTGAGCCGGACGATCGGATCCTGCGTTCGTCAAGCCGTAGATGCCCATTGGTCCACGTAGCATTAGGACCCGAGGGTGACCGTCTTCTGTTCCGCCAGGCTACGGAGAGGCAGCAGCAGCAGAGGAGGGCGAGGGACGCAGAGGCAAGCAGAGCTTTCGCAAGCGAGGCAGCTACCTCAGCAGCCAACATGGCCACCTTTGCGCAACAGAGTTCCCAAGCTAGTAGTTCAGGAACTATCGGGGCGAAGGTCGCACATACCCAGACTCAGTCCAGTGGTGTAATGGCAAGCCAGCAAACAGTGTTAACTCCCGAGGAGGTCGACATCCAGCAAGAAAGCATTCACGAGGCATAGATACAGCAGGCATTAGATGAGATACAGGCAAAGAAAGAGAGAATGATCAGACATAGGTCTAGGATGCAGCGGAGGCAAGCGGGCATCAGGGAGTTAGAGGAGATGGACGTCACGAACATGGATGACGATGTAAGGACCATTAGGACAGTCCTGCTAGATGTAGTGGAGATGTGGGACTACCATACGTCACTTTTGCAAGACATTCAGAAGAGTCTGACCGTGCTGGTCGGGCAAGTTCAGGTCACACCATCACCATCTGGGCCAGGTGCCTAGCCCGTGGTACAGCCTCCTTTTTTTCCCACCGGTAACCGGGGTAGTCCCATTTACACTTCCTCCGATGTCGGTACAGGCCGCTTCCCACCTTGTTGTGCCTTTGACAGGCGGGTTCTCAGCAGGCCCTAGTGTACAGATTCTTGTCCAGACAGTGTACTCCCAACCTCCGTTGCAAACTGCCGTAACAGGGCAGCTTGCCATCTCGCAGCCAGCACAGCCGCAGGGCACACAACCCCAACAGTAGCCAGTGCAGCAGCCTGCAACCTAGGCCCCACAACGCGGAGTAGTGCAGGCACCAGGACAAGGACAGTGGGTTCCCAAGACTGCCATCGCATCACCAAAACCCTTCTCAGGAGATAAGAAGGGTGAAGACCTCGACACCTAGTTGAGGTCGGTGCCAGCCTATGTGAAGTGCAAGTTAACCTTGCCTCACGAGGAAGTGCTTGTGGCTGCCTCCTATCTAGAGGGGAGTGCAGCAAGGTGGTTAAGTGGGTACGTGCAGTTATAGGGGTACGGTCATGACTTCCGCACTTGGGCAGTCACCCTGAAATTGGATGATTTCCGCAAGTTGGTGGAAGAAAGGTGGCATGACCGACAGGAGGCTCAAAACGTCACCGACAGGATATTGACCCTGAGCTCAAGGAAGTTCCGGTCAGTAAGGATGCCACGGACGTGGTGAGCGTCCGATCTATGTTCCTGGAGTGCGCTACGACCCCCAGGCCTTACTTACCACTTACCTGAGGTGTCTCCCCATAGAGCTTAGGAATCAGTTGGCGGGTGAGGCTATGATCACGGTCCACAACTTCCCTTCGTTCAGCAAGAAGGCCCTAGATCTAGAGGCTAGAGGCAAAGATCGGGCATGGGCACCAACCCACACGGATGGTAGGAAAAAGGCAATGCCTCCTAACTGGAAGGCAAGGGGCACATCATGTTCGTCGACAACGATGGTACTACCATAAAGTTAGACGACGATTTCCAGATGGGAGTAGGGTCAGAGTCGGGTAGCACAGAAGCTTCAGGGGTGGAGCAATCGCTGCCTCAGTCCAAAAAGGTAAGGCGACCGGTAAACGCCGTGGAGGTTCCCGGTCATGGAGTCAAGTAGACCCCAATGCTCCTCCATGGGAGAAAGTGGGGCTTACGGAGGAGCGTGGAGAGATCGTTACTCCCACGCAACTTGTATTCGTTGTGGCCAATATGGTCATAACTAGTTCAAGTGTCGAAATAGGAAAGTAACAAAAAAGATCCCGCCTACGATAAGGCATGCGCCGGTCTCCTCCGCTTCCCAGGATAGCAACGTTGCCAGCAGTTCGGGAAGCACATCGGGCCAGTAGGAATTATAGTTGTTCCTGCTAGGGTCGAGGTGGTGGACACCCTCACCATGTCGAGAGATGGCCCAAGCTATTGACTCTATCGTCGTCCCGCAAACACATTCAGGCCAATCGATCCTCTGTTCGATGAATGTGTTCGAGTCCTTAGAGGAGCTAGAGGAGGAGTGGTCTAGTTCAGACCCACTAGCTTCTTGGACGACAATGGCTAATGCTCCTAAGGGTGAGTTGTTCGTCGGCGAGGTAGATATAGGCCGCTGTAAGGCTGGGGCCTTTTACGATACTTGTTCGACGAGGAACTTTATCAGTTGCGCTTGCGCTAAACGGCTGCGCTTAAAAGGGCAAGTGCAGCGCCTCAGTCGACCTGTGCCAACAAACAGCGCATGGTAGTCAATGACTACTTGAAAGACATCGAGTGTCGTTTCCTGTACGAGGGAGGGGGATTGAAACATAAAATCTCTTTCCTAGTCAACGATGATCTCCCTATGGATTATCTTGCTGGGTATGTACTATCTTTCGATTGCACATCCCTAATTTGACTAAGACCGAAAAGTGGTCAAACACACTTTGCTCGGGGGGGGGACCACCAAATTACGTAAGGCTAGTAGTCTGATTGAGTCCTACGGATGCATGTGTGCGGCCGCGTTCTATAATTATTATAAGCAAAATCCGAAGGAGGGTATGTACTTGGTGTATGTCTCTGTAGAGGGCGAGCCGGTGAAAATACCTCCAGAGATAGAGGGAGTGGTCGCTAAATACCCGGATCTATTTGAAGAGCCAAAAGGGGTTGTTGAGAGGGAGGTCGTCCAAGCGATAGAGATTATCCCAGGGTCTAGTATTCCGAAGGGTAGGATCTATCGAATGTCTCCAGTGGAGCTTGATGAGCTTCCCCGACAACTCAAAGATCTCACAGATAATGGTTGGATTCGACCGAGTGTCTCCCCTTACGGGTCTCCTGTCCTATTTGTACCAAAGAAGGGGGGAACGTTGCGGATGTGCATTGATTATAGGGGCCTCAATGCCATCACCCTGAAGAACGCAGAGCCCCTACCGCGCATCGATGACTTGTTGGACCGAGTGCAACAGTGTCGGTACAACATAAAGATAGATCTGAAGTCCGGGTACCATCAGATTGCAATCCGGCCCGACGATCAACACAAAACCGCTTTTCAGACCAGGTACGGTTTGTACGAGTTTGTGGTGATACCTTTCAACGTTTGCAATGCTCCTGGCACCTCTCAGCACGCGATGAACCGGATCTTTCATGACTACTTAGATAAGTTTGTTATCGTGTACCTCAATGACATACTTATTTTTAGTAGGACTGTCGAGGAGCATGTAGCCCATTTATATAAAGTACTTAGTCTCCTTCGGCAGTACCGGTTCAAGATTAACCGGGAGAAGTGTGAGTTTGGCCGCACCCGGATCTTGTATCCGGGTCATGAGATTTCCGCGGAGGGATTGAAGCCCGATGACGCGAAGGTGGCCAGCATCTGTGATTGGCTGCGTCCTCAGTCTGTGACGAAGGTGAGATCTTTCTTGGGAATGATCGGATACTATCGCAATTTCGTGAACTATAGCATAGCATCCGCACCCTTGTCGGATCTCACATGCCTTGATACCCCCTGGGAGTGGACAGACAGGTGTGAGGCTGCTTTCAAACATCCGAAGCATTCTCTTCCACACCATGAGGTCTTGAAACTCCTTGATCCTGACAAACCATTCGTTGTAACCACATATGCCAACCAATATGGCATTGGTACCGTGCTTGCGCAGCAGGAGGGGAAGAAGAAGTTGAAACCCGTAGAGTACATGTCCAAAAAGATGCCCTCTCAGAAGTTGGCTAAGTCCACCTATGAGAAGGAACTCCATGCGATATATAAAGCGCTGACCCATTGGAGGCACTACCTCCTTGGGAGATTCTTCTACGCCGGGAATGATCATCAGACGCTGAGGTGGATGAGGACACAGCCTGAACTCTTCGATGCTTCGAAACGCTGGATCGAAGTCATAGAACAATATGACTTCGAACCTCAGTACATCAAAGGGGAGTACAATAAGGTCGCTGATGCATTGTCGTGTAGACTAGACTTCCTTGGTGGGCTGATCACTAAGTTTGGGCTTGCGGACAAGGTGACTCAGTCCTTAGTGAAAGCCTATCGCACGGATCCGTTCATGGCAAAGATCATACGCAGGCTCGAGGCGAAGGACAAGGTGACATCTGACGAGTTTGCGTTGGTCAATGGCCTGCTGTTTCTCGAGAAGGCCTGGAATAAACGTTTGTGTGTGTCGAACCGGGAGTCTTTGCGTCGTTTATTTTTATGCGAGTGTCATGATGCCACCAGGCCTTTTGGCTATAAGAAAACTGCAGCAAACTTGTTGCCGCAGTTCTGGTGGCCCACAATGATGAAAGATGCCAAGCTGTAAGTGGAAACTTGTCAAGTGTGCTTGAGAGACAAACCACACACATAGGCCCCTCTCGGGCTTCTCAAGCCCCTTCTGATTCCGGAAGGGCCAGGTGAGAGCTTGTCCATGGATTTCATGGATACGCTGGACACCAGCAAGAGTGGAATGAGATATTTTTTTGCCATTGTGGATAGGTTTAGTCAGTACGCTAGGTTAGTCGCAATGCCCGAAACAGCAAAGACGGAGTATGTGATTACATTATTTCAAGAAAACTGGGTCAGAGACTTTGGTTTGCCCAAGTCCATAGTTAGTAACCGGGATGTGCGCTTCACAAGTGACCTATGGAAGGCTGCAGCTGCTGAACAAGGGACACAGCTGCAGATGACCTCCGGGAACCACCCAGAGGCAAACGGACAAGCAGAGCAGCTGAACCGCATTGTACAACACCTGCAGAGGCACTATATCAAGCCTAACCAGATGGACTGGGATGAGAAGCTCGCTCTCATTGCCAGTCTGTACAACAACGCACTGCATAGAGCAATAGGGGTCATCCCCAACAGCCTGCTACTAACTTTCAAACCCCGATTGCCTCTAGACTTCCTGCTACCTGGGAGCCAGCCCACTGCTGCGCCTGGTTCTTTGGAGTTTGCCTGTCATTATGAGACCCTTATGCAGCAAGCAGTGGACAGCATGCACAGAGCACAGGCGGCAATGATAGAGTCAGAAAACAAACACCGCCCCCATTCCTAGTTTCAGGTTGGGGATAGAGTCTGGGTAAAGGCTTCCGAGCTCAGGCAAGAGCACGACATTTCCCGCAAGCTCATGCCACAGTATTTCGGATCATGGGAGGTTCTAGACATTGTCAAAGATGATCCCGATGGGCCTTCCTATGTGATACAAATCCCTGGTCACCTTCGCACCTACCCTGTCTTTCACGCCTCCAAACTTGCACCTTCCGAGGAAACCGATCAGTTTCCCTCTCGTCGGTCAATGCTGCCCCCAACCATGGATGTAGAAGTCGACATCGAGCGCATCGTAGATCACAAGGAATTGCCGACGCCGAAACCAACTGGCAGGGGACAACCTCCAAAGCCGAAGTTGCAGTATCGTGTGCGCTTCAGACATCACACGGATCCGAAGGAGGACAGGTGGTTTACAAGAGAGGAACCGATGCGAACAGCTCCTCAGATTGTCATTTTTTACGAGAAGTCATTGCAGAAGGTAAAGCACCAGATTGAGTGATTGAACTTCTCAAAGGATTGTCAAAGTATGGAGGAGGGAATGCGAGGCCACAGCCCGCCCTGAGCATCCTGGGCCTCTCAGCAAGGATGGCCGCCTTAAGTGAAGGCGGCCCCTGTAAAATCACATGAGGCCTATTTCGTCCTTTTTCGCAAAGTGGGGCTTAGACAGTTATGCTGCGTCAGTTGGTTGAATGGACCCAGGCCGTGGGCAACAGTATCCGACCAAGGGCTTCTAGGCCCCTCCTCTGTTTCTGAGCACAAGCACTGGGGCAGAAACGGGGCACAAACTGCACGCAGCACGCTTGGCAGTTAGACACGCGTAACCACCCGGGGCCCTGCAGAATATTCTGGCCTCAGGCACTTGGGGCCTACCGGAAGCTTCTGGGCAGGGTCCCAGCGCAGCCAGGCAGCACGCAGCAGGCAGGCCACTTCCATCAAGGAAAGTGCCTGCCTCTGCATTTGGCATTCGCGCACTCGCTGCTTATGCGCAAGCGCTGCTGCACCATAGCCGAGCTGGCCTGCGCATTGCTGGATGGGGCGCATGGTGGATGGGGCGCATGGAGGCAGCCATAGCCGAGCTGGCCAGCGCATTGCTGGATGGGGCGCATGGTGGTCCTTGGGTGCACGTGGCATCTGTGTGGGGGATCGAGGTTGTGAGTGAAGCATGAGACATACCTGGTGCTTGAGGTGAACCCGAGATCTAGTCGTACTTCGGGAAGCTGTTGACGTCACCAGCGGCATTGTAGATAGGCTAGATAGGATCTGCCATTCGTAGTCTGGGTGCTGAGCGCCAGATAGGGATTCGGCATTGGTTCATTGTTGATGATGATGAGACTATTCCAACATTGTCACTTGTGAGCTTTAGCTGTGCTCTTATTTGGTGGAACTCAAGTTGCAATTCTGCTTTTGGTTTGAGGTCGAGACTACCTGGTTTCATGTGTATGATGCTGCTTGGTGTTCTGGAATTCGCTATCGCTCATTTTCCTTGCACAAGCATCTCCGCTGGTCTATCCACGAGACAGGAAAAGTCTGCCCTCATACATGTGTCTGTGCAGTAAGCACGCATCAAATTGATTTCATAGAAATCTTAAGTATCTATGCATATAACTACCGTTTTCCCCCAAACATAACGCGCCCTTAAAATGAACATATACAAGGTATGTTTCCGTCCCGATACAGTCAAAATGAGGGTGCGCTGTGTTCAGGGGAAGACGGTACGCTGTTTTTCCGGGCGCCTGGGCACCCAACTTATGCCCCGGTACACGCCCGTATGCCCGCCCGGGCAGGGTTCTGTTCAGGCCCAACACAAAAAACAAAATTCAAAAATATTCAAAGAATTGCTGAGTGGGGATCCGAGCCGCCCGGGTGACCGGCAGGGGCCCGGGGGAGGGTCCCGGGCGGCCTGGCCGGGCAGGGCACCCGGTTGGGGGCCGGGCCCTCCCGGCGCACTCACCTGTCGCGGGATTTCGGACCCCCTTTGTGTGTGTGTGTGTGTGTGTGTGTGTGTGTGTGTGTGTGTGTGTGTGTGTGTGAG